GGGGGGGGGGGGGGGGGCAGCACGCACATGCGTGCATTCAGCAGACATAAAATGCAGTCAGTGGCTACGCGGCGCGAAATTGAGTGTGGAATCTCAGGCCCGTCGCGCGCCCGTCCAACACAGCACTTGTCGCCTGCCCTGGCAAAGCGGGCTCTGCGGCACGCCCCTGCTCGAAAGGTCCGCGGCAGCAGAACATACTACGGACCGGCACTCGGCACGCATCCGCCGGCCTAAGGCGGTACATCCACCCGGCACTCGTGCATGGGCCTCACCTGTAGCCATACAGGAACTCGTCCCGCGCCTTGTTGGTGGAGAGAACCTCCCTCAGCCGCTCGTTCTCCAGGCCGCACCTGGGTGGATTTGGTGCGAAGGGAGGGTTGGGGATATCGGGCACGACGGTAACAAGGGTGAGCGGCTCCAGTGAAGACGTGGCTTTGCAGGTGCCAATCATGGCATGGTTCCTTGCGGGGCTCGTCACCAGGCTTGCAGCAGCGACTCTTGCCTGCAGAACAGTGAAAACTCAAACACGCAGAGCCGCAGGCGTAAGCAACTGATGCCTGCATGAGATTGTGCACACTCACACAAAGCCAGACACAGACACAGGCACAGGCACAGGCACAGGCACAGGCACAGGCACAGGCACAGGCACAGGCACAGGCACAGGCACAGGCGGAGGCAACACGCACCGGCACGCCAACGCACAGGCTCACCAAACACATGTCCAAACACCAACACACACACGCACACGCGCACACACACACACATACACACGCACACCTGCCGATGTACCGCTTCAGAGCCAGCGCCTCCTCCCCGCTGGTGGCGGGCTTGGCCATCTCAGCAGCCATCACCGAGTACTCACGCGCCACGCGCTCGTTGGCCTCGCGCACCTGCACGGGTTGGGTGTCACATTGCACAGAGGGCGGCGTGGGAATGCTGTTGGCAGTAGTATGGGTGATGATGCTGTTGCATGGCGGGGGCAAGGACGGCTGGAAGCCAGCAGTGACTACGACACTATTTAGAAGTTATCAAGGATAACAGCAGCCAGTTGCTTGTATGTCGAGCCGGTCTTAGCTGGCACACAGGGATGTGGGGGATGTCAAGAACATAAGCAGCATGCACACCAGCCCGCAGCCGGTTGGAGGGCACAGAGGGTCAAAGCCCGAAAAGCGGGACTCCTAAGCCCCTGCCAGACCTGGGTGCGCAGCAGCTCGAGGAGAGCGCCCGCAGCCGCCTCGGCTGCCGCGGCCAGCTGAGCTTTGAAGCGCGCCGTCCGCACGGCGTACAGGCCTGGGGCATCGCGAGGGATTGTGAAGGCCGCTTGAATGATTCTGGGTTTGACTGGAGCCACTCTCCATTCACAGCTGTAGAATCCATTCCCATGCGCCTGAATGGCTCCAGAGCGGGTGACTGCTGTACGCTGTACCATCCCTGATCCTCATCAATACGGGGCACGACGCCCCACACGGCGCCTATGCTGCCGCATGCTGATAGGGTGGCACTGTAGCGTGCACTGCGAAGCTGCAAAGCTACCCCCACAGCAGAGAAGGGGCCCAAAGGCGCGCCCAACCCCACCGCGAGCCCAAAATCGCCATCCCTCTCCCCACCCGTGCGGACATCGTTGCTGCACGTGGCCCAGGCGTCCGCCGCCGCTGCAAGCAGCCGGTCCACCTCCTGACCATATGCCACCAGGTCAGGGCCGCCGCCGCTGCCGCCGCCAACGCCGCCGCCGCCGCCCGCTGTCCCGGCGCCAGCGGGCGCCGGCGCGGGTGCCGGCGCAGGTGCGAGCGTGGCGGCGGGCGCGACGGCGATGCCGCCGCCGCAGGCCGCGAGCGTTCGCGCCGCGTGCTGATTCGGGTCGAGGGTCAAGAGATACAGCAGAGGCTCGAACAGGGCGGCCAGCTGCCGCGGCGCCTCGGCGTTGGCTGACAGGATTGAGCGGAGCTCCTGGAATGAGTCCAAAGTTTTGTCCAGGCAAGAGGGGCAGGAGTGTGATAGGTGTGGCACCAAGCATGAGATAATAGAATTTGACCTTGCGAAGGTCAAAGCGCAAGGTCCACGCAGGTGCGTTTGACTGTTGACAGCTCCAGACTTGGCATGCAAAACACCAGCCGCCGCCAGGGCAGCCTTGAGTCACCCACCTCGCGCGCCGCGACCACCCCTGAATCTGACAGGCCCGCGGCCGGGATCACCCCGGCGCCGCCCTGCCCGCCGCCGCCGGCACTGCCGCCGCCGCCCTGGCTCCCTGGGCCTGTCCCGCCCGTCCCCAACGCCCCGGCGGCCGGCGCCGCCGGCGGCACGCCCGCCGACAGCGTCCCGCGCCCGATGCGCGGCAGGCCGCAGGCCGCGGCCACTGCCGCGTCCAGCACCGCGAGCGCGGCGGCCTCGCTGCTCGCCAGCAAGGGACGGAAGCCGACCGCGCCTGCGAGCAGGCAGCGCGGCGAGACGGTGCGCATTGCATCGCGCCGCGAGACGCGACGGCGCCAGCTCAAACTGCCGGCGTTGCCAGCCATGTCATTCCCACAAACATCATCAATGCAAGGCAAGAAGGGTTGATATAAAGGATCAGCCAAAGCCTGGTGCGATCGAGGCCCCTCACCTGCCTCCGCCACAAGCTCTGTTTCAAACACCGCCGGCACCGCCCACAGCGCCTTGCTGCCATGAGGGTCCAGCGGCGGG